TTTCTATTACAAATTTATCTTCTTAAAGATATTCTTTCGTTACATCATGAACGAAAATACTTTCTTTTAAATTTGTATTGGATTGTTTCAATGTTTGCTTTCTTTTGTTTTTTAATAATTATTTATCAAAGTAGTTATTTTTATGGTACAATTACTCGAATGCTTGTTTGTACAGGTCTATACTTATTCTTGAATGGTTATATATCACAGGTTATTCCGTAATCAATCATATTATAGTTATACTATAATCAGAGATTTGAAAGAATCGATAATAATAATGAAATTTGAAGAGAAATCTTTTCAGCTAATATAGATTATTTTATCAAAAATCAATCAATGTAATATACTCATTTATTTGTATCTGTTAATTAATGTATATTTATATATATTGTGTTTTTTTTTTAATGTTAATAAATTGAATACACTCTCGTTATATCTTCTTCATTTACTATTGTTGTAATCATAAGAAAATGACACTTCGTTCTTAAATCAATTATTTCTTATAGTGTGGCCAAAGTTTGAAAGAGCTATCCATAAGTTAGAATAGTTTATTTAACTCATTAAGTTCCGGCTTGTTTTGCGAAAATTCAAATTTTCATAAGAAATGTTTAAATATAGTTTTTATTTAGGTTTTGACAGAATTTCCAATCTATCAAAGAAACATCTCTAGTTCGCTACTCTATGATAGTCTCAAAAATAATCCTTAACATCGATCGTCATAAATCTATGTATTGATTATATCACTTCATTTTCACGTATGAGGATATACCTAAGCATGTTGAGTTGGGAGAAACTATATAAGGTGAAAAAAAGAAGAAGCTTTCCCATTTTGAAAAATCCTGATATGATAATAACCTAAGAGAGAACAATCCTGCAGGAGAAAATCAACATAGGAGAAATATACCGCGACAAAGTTGCAATTTGGAATATAAAGCGACATAAAGAGAAAAAAAAACCTGTGAACATATATCATCCATATGTAGAACAACGAAAAACGATGCATGAAGAGTATAGCCACTATAGATTCCTAGTATGATGTCCCTGCCCTAGTCCATGGTTTATTAGCTAAAATACGTTTCCAATTAACCTAAGAAAATGCTACTAACATCTCGGTTCAATAACTGCATTTCAACATGTTCTTACGTCCGTCACATATGTCCTAAGCCAAGTTCCAGGACGTATATATACATCGCCAGGACTCAAAAGGTTAATATGACAGAGACATACGTCTGAGAAAAAGAGTATCTTTAATTATACTCTACATTTTAGAGTTTACATGAGCTGCAAGTCCATGAAAATCTGAATCTCATTGTAATATGAGGATATCAAAAGAGCTTATTGTAAGGAAACGGTGAATGGGGTAGGACTGGGCGAGATAGTTATAGTGAGGTTTCTATTTGGACTTTTCATGACTCTCATTCACAACCACACTATGACATTATTCGAATGATGATCTTTAACAAGACTGTCACAGGTGATGGCGTTGATGTGAAACATGTAATACATCAAAATAAAATAATATAGGGTGTGATCAACAAAACATCGTCACAAACTCATAACTTGACAGTGGCAAGAGTGAATTAATCTTTGATTGAATGCATTTTTAAATAAAATGTATGAAGAACTTTAAAACAACTTCTTCTTATCTTAAATTAAATTTGAGTTCAAAATTTCTCATGAAGAATACACATTTTCACATATTGAAAAACATTGAATCCAAAAAATCATGGGGATTAGCCAAATCGATCAATTATTTTTGGCAGCACATGATATCGGTCCCTTAGCTCAGCCGGTTAGAGCGCCGTGCTAATAACGCGGAGGTCATGAGTTCGATCCTCATAGGGACCAGAGTTTTTTAGTAATATAATTACGCAATATTATCTTGTTCTTCAAATTTGAAAAAAAAGAAGAATGCAAACAGAACACGACGACGTACATTTACTTCGTTTCGTTTTCATTTATTTGACTTGGAAAGGAATTGAGTTTTCTCAAACGATTATGGTTGATAACATCCAACTTCACATTTTACTTATTATTTTTACATAAATCATTTCCTATGTAAGAAGGAATCAGTTGAAAAACTCGATTAATCAATGAAACTATGCTTTCTGAATTATTTTTTCGATGATATCCGATCAAAGGCATATGATCTCGATCCATTCTGTATCGATGTATTTGTATTTCAGTGAACATCAGTGCCAATATCATGAAAGAGTACCATACTGAGATTATCACATTGAGACTGTTCAAGCTTAATTTTGTCACCTTTTGCACTGTTCTGATCTTCATCGCTTCCTCACTTCAAAAAGTAAAGTACCATAATTTGTGACCACTATCCTTTTGGTAATCTAATCATTAGGATATATTTTCTTAATAGCTGATTCTTTTAAAAATAAAGAATGCAGAACACATGCTACCATTCATGTATTAACATTCACATATTAGTTTCATAACTAATAGATCGAAATAAAAATAGGATAGTAAATAAATAAATAGAGTGTGGTTTAGAGTCTGTCGTGTCGGGTACGGATCCGAAAATATTCAACCCGATGGGTTCTAGTTGTCTGAGAAATATGTAGGGTGCGCTAGTCACCGAATACAAAAAATGGGAAGAACCTATTTCGTATCTTCGGAGCGACTATTCAATTCCGATTAGAAAATTTCATTGAAAGTATTAAAGTATGGTTCGACGTGATCCGCATATGGTTCCCAGAAATAAATATAGAAGAAGGCTAAGTATACATGGGCTGTGAACTCATGTGAAACTCTGTAACTCAATCTATGGAACTCCATCCAGAAAGAGGAATTCTTGAAATCAGAATGAAAATTCATTCGATACATATTACATGCATTTCACTTCGATCATCAGTGAAAGAGATATGATTTGTACCAAAACAAAAGTCAGAAAATTTTCTGTCACTTTCGTATTCCATTGCCAAATATATCTCGCAGCATAAATAATGAAAATGACTTTGCTATATTCAAATAAGTATATTTGTTCTTCAGTAGAGGCAAAGTCAATACTCAATCTTGTGGGTAAGAGATGTAACGGGTGGGCCATAAAGAATGGACCTCTCAGTATTTTGCACATGTCTCCTCCATATTTCAGCAAAGAAAAAAAATTTTATTTTTATCAAAAGATTCCTCTTTTTTTTTCTCTACAAAATGGTGACTTTTTTATTATCTTAAATAACTTCCATCATTTTGTGACATATGATACAAACGATTAGTCCAACATGTACAACTTTCAAAAATAACTTCTTGTCTAATTTTTTTCACTCCAAGTTTAACCTCTTGAACCAAGGTCACTTTAGATGTCACTCTATTCAAATCGATGACCTTCGTAAATTCATCCCAAATACAATAATCTAATGGATGGAGATCGGGACTTTTAGGTGGCCAATGGTCTTTGTCAATAAAAGGTGGAAAATTGTTTCGACACCATTCTTGTGTTAAATAATGGATATGTGGCTTTGCACCGTCCTGTTGAAAAGTCCAATCACCTCCGAAGGTCTTATTCCCGTATTTCAATGTCACAGGAAGAACCTCGTCGATATATCGTGCATGATCAACAGGACCTTCCTCGAAGATGACTAAAGGCGAAATTCCTTTGGAACAAACACCCAACCATACCATAATCTTCTGAGAAGCTTGCTGTTTTTGCTTTAATTCACCAATTTTGTTTGCCTCAATTCGATTTGCAGCCCATATCCGATCGTCTTGAGCATTATACATTCCGTCAATGTCGAACTTTTTCTCGTCAGAAAAGAGAAGAGTGTGGCTGTGGGTGGGTGTGGGTGTGTGGGTATGGGTGTGGGTGTGGATGTGGGTGTCGGTCTGTGTATTATTTTTGTCTTTAACGACACGCAAACCCACACCCACACTCACACCCACATCCACACCCTATGAACATTAAGGGGGAAAGTGCAGGCACCCAGCACCCTTACACCTCAGCACCTGTTCGGCACCTATTGAGCACCTACAGCACCTGCTCGACACCTTTATCGAATTTACTATGAGCGCCTTCAGCACCGGCAACCATTTTTTCACTATCTTAAGTACTTTTTCAGCACCTTGCGAGAAAATTTAGTGCCTAGGCTCTGCCCTTTAAATTTTCTCGCAAGGTGCTGAAAAAGTACTTAAGACAGTGAAAAAATGGTTGAAGGTGCTGAAAGTGCTCATAGTAAATTCGATAAAGGTGCCGAACAGGTGCTGAGGTACCAGGGTGCTGGGTGCCTGCACTTACCCCCTTGATGAACATAAAGTTCGTACTTGTGTACATAGATAGATTTTTCGAATCATGCGAGATAAAATAATTGATTCTGATTGGAATATCATTGTTTTACCATTTAAAGGATTATCAACTAAAATTAAATCTAATACTATACGAACATGTATTCGTTCACAATTGATTGTATAACCTTGTTCTTCTATTAAAAAGCCTTCTGAGAAACAAAATATATTTATACATGTTTCTTACTTTGTATTGTATTCATCAGTTCATTAGCTATTTTATTATTTGTTTAATCTGACAATGAAAAAGCTGATTGATCAGTTAACATAACAATACCATTTACAACATCTTCAATATCTCTCTAAATTATAAAGTATTCGTATTGCCTCCTCTTTTTAGTTAAGATATGAAAATAAATTAAAATTGATTTTTCTATTTACTGTATTAGTCAATACTGCTTGCATAGCTTGTACACCGTAAACAACTTTATTAATCATTGCTTGTTTGATTGGTATAAATTGATTGGTATAATAGAATTGTCGATATATATTTTCATATGGTAATATTTCAATTGTTTGCTTTTGCTTTTGCTTTTTTTTTCTTAATTTTTTTGATTATTTATTTTTATTTCATTTTGAAAACATTCATATGTGATTTTTTTCATTAATTATAAATTTAGGTATACCTTCAATATCAGCAATTAATTTATTTGTTTTCTATTTGAAATTATGATAATAAAAATCTATTCATTAGTTTAAAAAAATCAAAGTTATCAATCAGCTGGACAATGTCACGTATCATCACTACATGTTTTTGTTTTCGAAAAATCTCATTTACTTCTTTCTATCGACTCAAATTTTGGACCTCCTTTCATAGACTCATCCTAGCATATTGAGAGTTTTGACATATATACATACTTTGTAATTTTTATTTTTATATTGATTATGAATTTGATTTATTAGTTTTGTAAAAATTTCTTTAGCTTTTGTTAGAATAACTGAAGATGAATCAAACGTATCATTTGATTTCATAGGACATAAAAATTTAGCTTCAATCACGAAAATATCTACTTGTTTGTCTGTCGGTTTTATTGAAGATATTTTATTATTCTTAGATAAATTTAAATATCGTTCATGATGTCTATAATTATGAATAACATTTCTGAGAAGTTGATTATTTCTAAGTTGCATTTCAACTATTGTTGGTAATTTTATTGCTATACAATGAATTATCTTTTGATGGAAACTTTTCTAATTTTATGATTTCATTTTTATTATTCGATAACATGATAGAATTAGAATAGTTATCATACAAATTAGATATTTTGAAATCATCGTTTTGTTCAGATAAATTGCGAATACTATCAATATTATTATTGTTTTGATTAACATTTTGATCATATATCGATAACAAAGAATCAAGATGATTAATAACTCTATCTGTTATTTCAAAACTATCATAAGTTTCTAAAATATCTATTCCATACTACAATAAATATGAGTTTTATTTATTATGATGTATACAATATGAAATCTTACATCAGTACGAATATTATTGGCAATCTTAACACATTCTGATACTTTAAGAAGAAATTCTTCGGAGAAAGTTCGATGATCTTTCATTCTATTTGTTTCATGAGTATTGTTTATTGTAGAAAGTGATTCAGTGTTATGGGTGTGGGTAGGTGTGAGTGTCGGTCAGGAGATGCACTGCAGCCACACCCACACCCACACCCCACAAACCCACACTCACACCCACCCACACCCCACACCCCACACCCTCAATAGGTGATTCTTTCTACTTTCGAGTAGAAATTTAAAATATTTTGTATTTGGCTCAAAATTTTCTTTGAATCATTTGTACAGATATTTGCCATTTGATAAGATTTCTTGTAAAATTGAAATACTACTTAGTATTGTGGTAACTTTTCACACCCACATCAGTGGCGGAATGACACAAAAACTTAATAAAACGATAGAAATTGAGAAAAACAAATATATATTGAAGAACACAGTTAGCGAATCTACATCCGAGTGGCAGCACATGGTACTCAACGCAATAGAAATACGTCGATTACACATGATCAAACGTGCAAATTTCATCACAAAACATAAATTGGCCACATGTTTTAACACAAACAATGAGTTACCGAATATATAGACCATAGCACATACCATGAAAACGATGCATGCTTATTTCATATCATAAACTTTATAATAAGTTTTATTTTCAACTATTCATTGCCATTATTATTATCGCCTCGTTTTTTTTAAACACTTCTGTGTCTATTTTATCACTTCAAGTTCAAAGCTAAAAAGCATCTAATCAATTGCTATCTTATTTTAGATGTTAACCTACTCTACTGGAAACCATACGACGCTTATACCGAACATCAATTGACGAAAATGACAAAAACAATCTCCAAGTGAGTCTATCTATATCAAAAAGAAGAAATCTAAGACATGTTTCATACCATGATAAACAATTTTTTCTAATTAAATGATTTTTCAAAATCTTTTGATTGAAAAAATTGAATTATATGCAGATTCACTTTACCAACTGTAGAAGTCTTTAATCGAACTGAAACGCGTAGTAGTAGCTCTTATTCTAACTCACTCTCAAGATGGTGAAATTCAGCCGAAACGCGTCGTGATGGTTCTCTTCAAACTCATCATTTGAATAATAGAACTATCTGCTGCTTTTGAAATTTATAGAAGTTAATATTGGAAAAGATCGTTTACATCTGCTTTTCAATTTAATTTCGTTTGAATTTCATATATGCAGATTATAAACCACCTGATGATGCTGTGAAATTCAGCCGAAACGCGTCGTAGTGGTTCTCTTCTTCAAATTCACCCCAAACAGTCTACAACAAATTGAGCTATTATGAGCGATTGGCAATTTCTGTTGCAAAACTTTGTTTCGAATCTGGTTTATTAACTCAAAAAGATTTGAATAAGAAATATGGTCCACCTTTGCATTCAACAGATGAACAATTATTTCAGATTGGTGATCAAATACGTGTTCATTAGGAAAATTATGCTACTCGTTGGATTAAACCTCATTTACGTACTCCGGGTTATTTGTATGGCAAAATTGATACTCTTGAAAGATGTTGTGGATTACATTCGAATCCGGAATATTTTGCTTATGGTAATACCGATAGTACTACTCATAAACAACCTCTTTATCGAGTAAGATTCAATCAGGAACATATCTGGGATCATTATGAAGGTAGTGTTGATGATACAATTGATGTAGAAATTTATGAACATTAGCTAATGTCTGCATCTCAACCTTATTCACCAACATAAGAAGACGAAGATCAGGATTCTCATGACCATGATGTTGGTTATCAGCACACAGATCATGATCACGATCATATTCACGAAGTCAGAGCTATTATCGAGCAAACAGCGATACATCGTGGAGGAATGCCATTACCTGCTCAACGTTTAGCAGAATCATTGGCGCAGGCATTAATTGATAAAAATATTATCAATCCTGAAGAATTACGTAAACAGATTGAAACGAATCAGATGAGTGGAACTGAACAAAGTGGAGCAAATATTGTTGTTGAAGCTTGGTTAAATCCGAAATTTAAAGAACATTTATTAAAAGATGGTACAAATACAGTTACAGAATTTTTATAACTTGACAAAATGAATATTGATTTAGTGGTTGTAGAAAATACTGATAAAATTCACAATTTAATTGTATGTACTCTTTGTTCGTGCTATCCTCGACAATTGCTTGGCATTCCGCCAGGATGGTACAAGTCAAGCTCGTATCGTGTTCGTGCACCTAGAAATCCTCGTTCGATTTTAAGAAAATATGGAACTGTGCTTCCTAATGATATGAAAATTCAAGTTCATGATAGCACTGCTGATTTACGTTATTTAGTCATTCCTCATCATCCTGCCGCTACTGAAAATTGGTCTCGAGAACAATTACTTGCAATAGTTACTCGTGATAGTATGGTGGTGTTTGTGATATTACCGTTTAACTATTCAATAATCAAACCAACTTGAATTCTTAACAATATTTTTTTCTGCTTACACTCCTTCAAGTTTTCCAATGAAAATTTGTTCTTTGGCATCTAGAACTTGATTCTTGCAATAATAAAATATATTCATTGACATCAACAAACTTCAGAAACGAGCAGTGTAGAAGACGAACAATCGATTCGAGTATTCAACTATTTTCATGTAGCGACGAGTGACGCAACAATAGAGATGGGAAAAGAACTGCGATATGATGGCACACAGTGCCGATATTGTTCAACGCATAACTTCAGTGTATGACTTACTGTGACTAAAGTATCAGTTCAGAATCATCAAAAATGGTGCCACTTGAAGAGGAACATCTGTGTGTGTCAAGACATGAGAAGAAATAAGTCTCGGTAACGAATCTAAAAACTTCCTTTCAAATCGGCCGATACCTGCATCGCAAAATTTTTTCGCCAGGTCATCCATTCCAAAAAAACCTTCCATTTCGGTCGATGTGAGACACGACAAGTGAAGCAAAAGAAAACGAATGAAAGCACTTAATGATGCTCCTTCATAAAGATAATCGTGTAGTCTGTCACAACTTGTAATTCCATTTAAGTCGAAGAGTATTTTCTGTACTCCAATGCATGATTCGCTGTTCGACTTGAGATCTCGAAGAACATCATCGAGTACCTGATATATTTCCGTGGCTGATATGCAGTCCACAAGAAGAAGACGAACCAATAATCTGACAGCTAAGTAACGACGATACATCGATGGAGATTTTAAATGTAGAAACAAAGTTTCAATTACAGTACGATCCTCGATTTGCCTGATCGCATCAATTGTATTCATGATACACTTTCTCGGAAGACAACCAATAGTCAACGTTGTAAAAATCATTTCAGTTAACTGCAGTGTCAGATCGCCCGAACTTCCATAAATGTTGAAACATGCCTCTTGTACCAGAGCACTGATACTTGTCATATAGGTGCGAAAAAGCGCATTTTTGAAAACTTTTTCAGATAAATTCGCTCGTATTGCTTGCCAAAAATCGCGTGGCTTTCTTGCCGCTATGTGGCTGGCAATAGCCAAGATATTTCGCAACAAATGTTCAAAATCCACAATGTTAGAATCGGTATGTAAGATCTTGTAAAGATCGTTAACAAATCTGTCTATCAATTTTGGCAGATGGTGCACGATTACTTCAACTGCTGTATCATCAAAGAAGAAACGTTGCTTGATAAAACAATGTGTATTCATCATTATTAAACTATAGAGAAGGTCAATATCAATGATCTCCAATCGATTTTGCATAGATTCAATACTTTCACCCGATTCACATACTAGAAAACAAGATGCAGCATGGCGAGAAACGTCCAACGATGGCGATGTATGCCAAAGCTTGAGTACACATCTTTCTTGTTCGAGATCTCGATCTTGATAACGAGCCCATCCTAATGCCCACATGCATGCAATGATGACTCTATCCGAGAGTGATTCTGCTGGACGCACAAGAGAATCGCAATATTTTGTTAAAATACTTGTAAGAAGTCGGCGATACTCTATCGAATCGTTTGTCAAGGAATAGATGGCTGCTTGCTGAGCGAGCGGTAGACGATTTTCATAGATGATATTTTCGACCAATTTAAGGAATTTATCACTCCGTTTCTTTTTCTTATCAAATTTGCTTACAACATGTATGAAGAGAGCAGTAATATAAGCTTCCCTAACTGTTGTTAAAGGATGAAAAGCGTCCACAAATTCACACATGTGTTTTTCCACGTACTCTTCAACATCAGCCGAACATGCGTTAACGAGTAGCAAGATCGACACATCGGGCTCATGAACGTCTAAATCGGAAAAGAGTCGCCGGCGTTCATCTTCCAAAAGAGAAGCCATCTCGTCCACATGTCTGATAAAGAACACTGGTTCATAGTTGAAGGTTTTCAATAGGATAACGGCCATTCGTCTACTGTAAGACCACATCGGTGTTGGACCTAGATAACCTGTAGTAAATCGCCGTTTTGCACTTTGACGAATGTAATCTAAATGACAATCGAATATCTTCTCGAAAATAATTTCTATTGTGGATAAAACAGTCGGACTTATTGGTCGTAGAATAAGAATGAAAACAGCGAGAAAAGCAAATTGATATTGTTCATTATTATCATGATACATGAGCCAATGTTCGATAATAGAACGATCTCGTTCTTGATAAGTATTCCATCGATGAAATCTGAATTTCTCGAATGGAATTCTCACATTTTCTAACGACGAACAGCGTACAAATGTATCTAGAAAGATTATTGTCTGGTGCGGAATTGTTTCTACAACATTTAACGATATCCACAAATCATTCAACTGTTCTCTAGCTAAAGTACATGACACCTCCTGCTGAGGAGTTTCCATGAACGACGTAAGCATTTGACTGTCAATAGCTAATTCAGTTAGGTACATGATGGAGAGTAGAATCGAATTGAGAGATCCAAAAGAGTCTGTACTCTGAAAATACATGCTCAACGCAGGTGAATTCATTTGAAGAATATCACATAGATTAGTGCGGCCGAGAAATGAGTTGGGAATAACGGCTTTTTGACGTAATACATTTTTGATTGTTTGATAGACAGCTTCTTGATCTCCAGTCTCTTCAATATTTTGCACTAGTAAATTCAGGTAACTTAGTAGCGAGACAGTCATCGACGAGAGCAACAAGGGAGGCGAATCGTCTTGCTTGGTACATAAGACAAAGATGAAAGCAGAAGTCATTAGGGGTAGAGTGCATGGAAGTTGATTTAAAAAATCTGAAATTTCATTTTCCATCGTGTTAAAAGGAATTATATCGTTCCATGGTCCTGTTATCTCTTGTAAATGTCGAAGGGCAAACAAGCGTAAGACTGGATCACAAATAGCTTGTGATGCAGTCAGGGCTCCAACAAAAAGCTCATTTTGATTACTTGTTAATGGACATAAACGCGCGAGACATACACTCGAGGAAAATAATTGCAATTCGACTGTTCGACTGTCGAAGGAATTCTTAGCATCAGAAATACGCGCTTGTTCTTGCTTGACTGCAAGCTCGACTAGACCTTCAGTTCGCCTTTGAACGAATGCTCGAATACAAGCAGGAATATTAATATCTTGAAATGCATTGTAGTAACGATAAGCTTCTTCTACGAGAGCTACTGAATAACTTTCCAAATTGTGCTTGCGAATAGAATCATCAAGTATCAGAAGAAGTAATAAGGAACGCGATGGTAAATGTTTTCCGTTACAGCCCACATATTCGCCGTCGCATGGCTTGTCAAATTTTGTATTCATCAAAACTGCGGCTAGAAGGAGGACAAATGTTGGACTTCCTTCATCGAGACGATTAGTCGTGATGAGTCGCTCGAACAATGGCTGCCAGTGTGTTGGAATGAAAGAGACGAGAAAAAATGGGCTCTTACAGAAGAGTTGATAGACATGACTGTTTTCGTCCATTCTAGCATCATCGGCTTGTGTCAATCCGCAGTTTTCTCTAATTTCCTTGTAGTTATAAATAAGCTTTAGGAAGCGCGGTGAGGCAAATGCGAGTTGATAAAGAAGTTGAGAATTCTTGTGTAATGCGAGCGAGAGTGTGGGGTAATGTGGAGAGAAGCAAGAGATATGTACGCACGCCACTGCAACAGCTTCAATCAATGCAACGATCGAATGCTTGTCGCTATTCTCGCTGTGACTAAGAATTGCTTCCATTATATCTTCTGTATCCGGTTCAAGACGGATGCTATGTTTCTGACAAAATGTGCGATGGTAGTAGGAAAGATTTTTGAGTGCAACAAGAGCCAGATGTAGAGCTTGATATTTGACCAGCTGATGATAGGCAGCTGGTTGTTTCATACCTTGCAAACAAATTAGGGCTACAAATGCATCAACCAAATCTCTGGACGTGTCATCTGTCGAACTCGAGTAGATCTTCTGTTCACAATGAACGATGAGACGTTTTATTCTTGTGAAATTGTCTGTTGTACTAGAATTGGTGAAGTATTCGATCAAGGCATTCGATAGAAATGATGAATGGTGAAATCGAATAGGATCAAACATTAAAGCAGAAAAGTATCCAATCTCTTTATCTACATAACACCACGGACGGCGCAATCGATTGAGATCTGCGAATAACAAGGACGCATCGCCCGGGTATAGTCCACCGTACAAAGCTATGATGACTGTCAAGACAGACGGATATATATCTGTTGCTGTTACATGATATTCCAGAAGGTGCCGGGCAAGGTTGTCCTCTATAGGAGATGGCTTGAGGTCAGGTTTCATGGAAAACATCGTGCGAAGTGTCAAATCCACGAATATCTTCTCTACATTATCGTATTTGTCAACTGCTCTTCGTAGACTAGAATACACAGTCGGCGACAACCAAATCGAAAATCTGTCCTCGTGACGATCTACAAGACATCTGAATATGTACAGCAGAAAGCGGCATACAGCCTCAATTTGAGATGATTGCTGTATATATTTTTGTAGTAAATCACTGGCTACTTGCGTCGGAAGCTTGTCCAGACATTCTTTCAGGGATTTTAAGCATGATTCATCATTGGATGCGAAACGAAGTAAACAATCAAACAGTTCAAACATGATTCCATCTGATGGTAGTTTGTAGAGATCTGCGGTTGTCTCTGCTAGTAATAGAGCACCCAGAGGCCAAGGCCCAAGAGTTTTTGCAATTAGTTGTGCACAGAACTCATCATAAGCGTCGCTTTCCCACTTCCAGCTTATATATTCAATAACAAGTAAGTGTGGTTCGCGGAAATGAGGTGTAGTAATGTGAGCAAAAATACGGTTCACAATCGATGATGAACAAAGTGGAGTATTGTCATTGTGGACTGGTTCGAGAAGTTTCATAGCTACGAAAAATTCTTGAAATGTTGCGTGTATAAAACCGAATGCATCGAGACCACGACAGGCAGTAAAGCTGAGATTTCTATTCAAAAAATCAATAAACTCCATCGTCTTCAGTTTCAAACATTCGTTCGATTCAGACATATGAAATGTTCTAAGTGAAAATCGTGTCAGTTGTCTGAGATCGAACGTATCGATGAAGCCCGATAAACAATGAGTATGAATATAGTATGCCATGTCTTTCAAAATCCAGTAAATTGAGTCCTGTTTTAGTAATGATCCTTGAGTTGTCCAAAATCTTAAAGTCGATTGCATTGTAGTCTCGTAAAGACTGACACGTGAAGATAGATTATTGAAATCAATTGTTTTGTAGAGAAGTGGCAAAGCGAGTGAAAGCAACATCGGATGATAACGAACATGCCGTCCCGAACGCATAAGGCCTTCTTTTATATTGATTGTGTGTGTTCTGAAAGTAGTAGCTTGCCTATTTAGCTCTGGAATGTTGATTCTCGCAAATGCAGTACGAAGATTGGTGTGTACATTGAAGAGCCACTGATCGACAAAACGTTTGAATTCGTTCTCATCCATCAAGTTAAGAGAATAATAATTCAAGTGTTTTCCTTTGAGCGGATATAGGTGATAGCCGATGGGACGAGTAGTTACAATCACTTGATTACCACCCACTAAGCCAGGTGATTCACTTTTCAAATCTCCCCACAAATGAATCATTCTTGTATCATCATTAATGGTGATACAGTTCGGCGTTCGAACATATTCTTGAATATAGGTTTCAATCAGACTTACAATATGTTGACGTTGCCTATTGTTATGTACCTCATCAAGTCCATCGATAAAGAGAATCGTATGGCCGTGATGAATGAAATCATGTAGTAAATTTGTACTATCAGAATAGATATTACCGAGCCAAGTATGTTGGCCAATGTAATCTTTCAGCGATAAAGTCGGATGTAATTCTAGCCATGTAATAAATTCTTCGATTCGAACTAGAATTGGTAGTCGAGTTGGACCTATGTTGATTTTCTCCAGAATAGTTTCTTCTTTTTCTTTCAAAAGAGCCTGAGCAAATTTCATGGTTAACCAACGCATTAGCGTTGTCTTTCCGAATCCAGGTTCGCCCATAACTAGTGTCCATCGGTCGTCTTGTAGCACAGAGAAGAGTTCTCGTTTTTCCTTCATACGCATTTGACCAAGAAATGTTTCTTTGATCGATGGAAGAAAAGGACGATACTCTGGCATCGACGAAATGTGGTTAGGTGTTAGCGTCCAAGACGACGGGCGCAGTGGCAATTCAATATGTTCGAGCATGTTTTGCAGAGGTACTTTAAACTCTTCCGCTCCGCAAAGATGGTCAACATTTTCACCGAGACCTCGTACAATTATTTTTGAATGAAAATTAATACACATTTCGAGATACGTCGTAAGAGAAAGAGAGTGTTTCGTACGTAAATGATCCAACGTCATTGGAATATCATTTGCATGTTTTCTCCTCTCGAGCATGTCTTCAAAGGTTTTTATTTGCCGAGATGTTGTTCTCACGACAATGTCGTCTTCCGGTCTACGGTTCGCCAAAATACATCGTATTTCGTCTTCATATGGGTACCATATAATGCTTGTTATCTCAACTTTTTGTTCGTGCTCTGCTTTGCGAATGAGAAGTCGTTCACCATAAACAATTGTTCGATTTAATCGACGCAGCAATAGTGCCCATTCATCGGATATGGATTGAGTCTTGTTGCATTCAGACAAGTGTTCGACAGCGAGAAGTGTTCGATGGAAAGAACTATCGTTCTCGAAAACATTTGGATCGTTAAATCGGAGCAGAGCTTTCTCTCTGAACGATTTAAGACGATGCAATATGCTTAGTACGTCTGCATCGGCCCCCATGTAAACACCAAACGCAGATCGAATGCGTCTGGATGCGGTTTTTGTTTCAGACGAACGCGTCTGGATGCAAGTTTCTTAAAATCAGTCAGAAAGCGCGTTGAAACGCGTTTGAAAATTTAATTGGACGCGTGCGACCGCGTTTTCCAAACGCGTTTCGACGAGTCACAATATATCAAACGGGTTCAGATGCGTTCGCAGAACGTATCTAAACATATTCAAATTGCTGAACACATTCAGAGGCTGTTTAAATCCAAATGTGGTCGTCCATTGGTTGCGTTTAGACGCGCCTCAGATTTCAAACGCGTTTGTTTGCGTCCGGAATGAGCCGCATGTAATGTCTATATGCATTTGGACGCAGCTAGAGTTCTTCTAAGTCAAACAGGGACGCTCGTAAACGACCGTAAACAGAGAAATACCGTGTTTTACATGGCTCAGTATTCCGATCGTATATATTCGTGCCGTATACGGAGAAATACGATCGTTTACGGACAAATAATGGCTCGTTTATTGCCTCCGTATACGGAGATCGTATTCAGCCTCCGTTTTACTCTGTATTTGTTCATATACGATCGTATTTCTCCATATATGGTTACGGAGAGATACGATCCTAATACTATGCCATGTAAAACGCAAAAATACGAAAGTATACTGTCATTTTACGAGTGTATACGGACTCCATATTCTTCGTCCTCGGCTAAACGCATCCAGATTTCTGTCGGATGTAACTGTGTTTTACATAGATTTGCGTTTGCATGCGTTTCAAATATAATGCAAAGCTCAAGCACATCACGCTCTTTCCATGTTGATTCTATTTCTCAGCGTGGCCTTCCATCTCTAATCTGTAACTAATTATTTTCTTCATCATCAGAGATTGTGCAATTAAATCTATTCTACATGGTTTGAAACCAGTATAATTCACTTGACTGGTGTTTTTCAACTGTTGACCTAATGTGCTTCTTTTCTTCCATCACAAAGACTACAATAGTAATAAAACCTTTAGGAATGTCATATGGTGACAGCACGCGTCTCTCTCACGAAACTGACCGTTTCATTCGAAAATTTCCGATGTTCACACGTGACTTTTGGGTGTATATTATAACTCTTGAGATCCACAGAGTTGAGTTTATAGAAATCGAATCCCCAAATCCTACTAATATGTGAGAAATTCAGAGTTATTCTTCGTGTTTCATTGTTAAAGCAAAAGATATAGACACCCACATATCTACATGAGCTGTTCTGGCTTATCGTGGTAAGTGCGCGCTTCTAAATCACATGTTCGTCAGTTCTAGCCTGGGTGACCGCACATCTGACACACGTAGCTTTGGTAAGAAAACTCGTTCTACTCTACAGTCTTAGATAAGCCTGACCTCTGATGTGATTCGGATGGTGCCGCAGTTCGATTCTGCGGCAAAATAATTCTTTTTTAAATTAATTATTTTAAACGCGGCTAGACGCGTTTGTCGTCCGAAACGCGTCCTATGATCGTATCTAACCGCGTTCTGCAAACGCATCTAGGTGCGTCAGATGTTTCATTTTAGCTGCATTCAGACGCGTTTCATTTAACGCGTTTAGAACGCAGTACAAGCGCGTTAGAAATGCGTTTAGGATAGTTAAAATATCCACATGAGATGAACAGTGATAAAAACTCAATCACCAGGACTCACTTAAACGGGCAAATGATTTTAACGGATTTGTTGGGATTCCTGATTTTGCTGGTGATTCGAAGTGGTCTTTCATGATTATTCGAGATTTTCTATGATTGATCGTCATTGTTGGTAATTTGCTGCATTTTTGTTTCCTAATTTTACTCGTTCTTGATCATTACTTCATGTAGTCGAAACATGTCTTTCGCATAATTTCAAAGCAGTTCATGAATGAAGGAAAGTCACCACGAATCACTGGAGTGCATTAATGATTTGCAGTGATTA